CATTGGCGTCATTTATGACGTTGATTAATATCTATTTAACTTTTACTTGACTCTATATTATATTTATTTTGTATTTAATAATAATACTAACAATTATTTCATGTAAAATTGTTGTATGAATCATTTTTAATAAAGGTAAGTATAAGAACGTTATTATGTTTTTAACAATTTTTTTTTTTTAAACCGTTATAATTTTTTTTGAACGACCTAGCTATACTTATAGTGACCTGATTAAGCTAAATATAATGGTCTACTTTTTAGGTTTGGCGGTTGGCGGAGTATCCGCTTGTGCAGTTGAGGGGACGGTACGGCGCTCGAGGGCCGTGTCAGGTAGAACCAGGTATCGGACTTAGGTTGTAGATATTACCAAAACTCACATCATATTATTCATACTTCAAATTTTAGATAAGCGTTTGTTTTTGGTGTGCTACTGATATACAGCTGGTAATTATAGCTTTTCTATTACTATTTTATATACGTTTAAAAATAATGCGATAAATCAAAAATCAAAAATATTGTTAATTGCGTTCAGTAAACGATTTTATAAGTGGAGCTTAGCATTTTTAACAGTCGTTATTGTTCTACTAATAGGTATCGATTACAATTTTTGAGTAAATGAACTAGAAAATTGATCTCTTAAAATAATAGTACCTGTATTCAAATTATCTATTAGTCAAAATGTAGCGTGAAATTACTATGTATCCATTACCTAAAAATACACCCGTTGGAAATGTTAACTTAAAAATTTCATTATTATTATTTTTAATGTCGTGAAAAATTAAATTTTATACGTTTATTTTTAATTTTTGAAAATATGTGTGAACTTATTTTTATATTTATATTTAAAGAACATAATATACAGTTAGGAGGTTGAAGGAATGAAAAAATAGTATAATATACACGGCTAGTTATATTTAAAGTAAATTCAATTTAATTGCAGTCAAAATATTTAATATACTAGTTTATGAGTTAGTTCAACGAGTGGTATACGTTCCAGTTAGATCAATATTCAAATAACTGGTAATTCGTTGTGGAGTCATTAAAAACACACGAATTTGTTTCATTGATACTATTTACATGAATTACGAAACTATCATTCAAGGCAATAATTGATAATACTGTATCAATATTATAATATTAGCTTCATTCCCCTCATCGTATTTTATATACATAATGTATATTGTATGTAGGTCTAGCTGGGTAACCATTGTCATACTTTTTCGTACTCCATCACTTAGAAACTAGAATAAATAAACGTTTTTTAATAATTCGAATAGTTTTTAAATACTTGCGAGGATAAATCTTGAAGTAGATATTAATATTTGTTTATAATAATTAAAACCACTACTGAAATTTCAAATTGTTTCACTTTCAAAAATAAACTTTCAGTTAATTGATCTTAGTCAATATGCCAATACTTGTTTTATCGATGACAATTTATTGACCAAATTAATATATTATATTAGAAATTCTTTAGTTTATGAAATTATATTTTTCATATTTTTAATAAATTTATATTGTTATATTAAAATACGTACCTATTATAATTATGATGAAATTTAATTACCAATATGTACTATTTGATCATCAAATTACAATTATATAATTCACTATTATACTTTTGATAAGTTGTAATGTAGTATATACAGATAATTACAATATTTTACTATTATTCAGTGAATAGATTTTTATGGAAAAAAATTATATGTTAAGATAGTACAATATATATAGAGGATTTCTGAACATATAATATAAAAAGAACAATACTCATATTATTCTCATAAATATCCTATCTGTAATATGTTATGATCGTTTATCTTATTACAAACATTTCTTCTAATTAATCCTTCTTAATTTTTATTTATCAATATATATACTTATATTACTATCATATAAAATATATAACTCATGTAACTTCGTTGAAAGCTGGCTTGCATATATGAATAAATAAATAATTTATTTTCTTGATTAAAATGTAAAACGGGAATCCATAATTAAATTGTAAACGGGAAAATCTATATAAGAGTTTATTCATTTCAAGTATCTTGTTTAACAATAAACATTGTCATTAAATTATATTTTATGCTCTTTTAATTAAAATCAAACAGAAGAGCTTAATCTTTATTGTTGATTTGTTTTGGTATGTACAATACGACGTTTAATGTATATCTACTACTATAAAAATATTAATTATAAATATATTAAGCAATAAGTTATTATATAATATTTAATTATACAGTAGAATCCACTTATAATGATCTTCAAGGGACCTAGAGAATCAAATCGTTATATACGGCATCGTAATAAGCAGATTTTTCTGTAATTTTAATACAAAGGAATGTTCTTAAATGATATAAAGTTGATAAAATATTAAAGAAGTAAATAACTAACTAATAACTTCATAGGTACATCTATTCATTATTAATTAATAACAATAATAATTATTTATGCAATTTACTGAAATATATTTTAATATTTTATATAAGTATACCTATTTTATGAAACATCAGAATATTTATAATACTAAATAATAGCCTATTATTAATAGGTATGCAATGCTTAAAATTAGAGAAGAGCGATACCAAAAAGAAATGATACTGCTCATGGGTGCGCTACTGTTTAAGGTGGGAAGTTGGAAAGGTAGGTTGCATTAAGTTATTTAATTTATATCTGCATGTAAGCAACATTAAACCATTGCTAACAAAAAAGAAAGTTTTCGAAAATAATGGTTTTATTATTTTAAGTTCAGTTAAAAATATTCGTAAAGACTCGACATTTTGATAGAAAACTTATATTTGCTTTTTATAGACGTGGTCAGATTTAAAAAAATATTTGAGCGATTTTTGAGCTAATTGTAAGCATTTTATTTTTGCAAGTGTTTTACAAAGTTTTTATTTGATAATTATGGTAATATCATTATTGTTTGACCTAACAGAAATGTTTGATAATTTAAAATGGGAGTTAAATTATTATTCTGATTACTTATAATTATGCAGCAGACTGTAATTGCATTTGATAATTTACTATTATTATTATGGGTAATTGACTGTACATTTTTTTCTCTTAACTTTAAAAAACTATATAAAATCGCAAACTTCATGAAAATAAAAACGTCAAAATTTTCAAAAGAATATAAACATAAACTCTGTAAAATGGCTATCATCAAATTAAATTTTGTGAAAATAATATTATAAAATGTTATTTTTTAAATTTTTTTTTACCGAAACATAAAAATTTAAAACAAATATAATATTGTTCCTGTAACTGAAGTGGTGGTTTTACAGGAGGGGGTCCAGGGGGTCTGGTTGTTTGGACCCTCAGACTCCAAGTTTAAACTATGAAAAGTAGATTTTATGTTATAATTTTTAAATTAAATTTAAACTTTGTTGTAGAATAAAACATAGGTACATTCATGTAACTAAGCAAAAAATGATATACAAGTTAATTTAAATAAATTAATAAATATTGGGTAGGTAAATATATTTTGTATTTTTATGTTGTAAGTTTATGTAAGTTAATATCAAAGAACCCCCACTAGAAAAAGTTTAAAAATGCTACTGCCTGCGAGTATTATTAAATAAATCAGAATTTGATTATTTTGTTATCATTTATCATTTTGACATAATAAAATATTAAAATCGGTACTAAAAATTACCTCAATTATGATATTGGATTCTATTTTAAGTATCGAAGGTATCAAGGTATTGAATCGCACATTCCTACTAAAAATCAACATAATGTTAACTCGTATCCACTTGAGATACTCATAAATCCTGCGACACGTTTTCTATTGTATAGTAAATGAATATTAAACATATGTATACAGACATAAATATACGAAGAAACAATATATATCATTAGCACTACAGCTCTTAAAATAATATAATGACATCTATTGAATAAATAATATTGTACTTATAACCTCTAGGTTCTAGATTTTTTAACAGACTTAAATACATAAATAATTTGAGTTACAGAAGTATGGTAATAAATATTATGTATTTTAAAGAACGATAAATTATTTTATTAGTCCCTATAACATTATTTTTTTCTCAAATATAAGTATTTAAAATGGAAAATCAAATAAAATAATTTGTATAATGTAGTTCTTATACTGGATATATTTTAAATATATATAATATATGTCTGTATATTATATATATAAATAAGGGTGTCCTTTAAATTTATCAATTTTAATATTTCTTCAGTCTCAACGCCCCCCCCCCCAAATTTGTGTGTATACATAAAAACATAAGCTACACAAAGTTTTAGAGCGATCTATTAAGGTTAACTCGTGTCGACTTGAATTTGAAATTTGAGTACATTAATTCACTCGTAATTTAATGATATATTTTACATTTTTATTGATATCTCAGTTACATATAGGAAAATTTAAATTTGTTGCATAATATGTTTTAAATAAGATGAAATTGTCTATAAATTATATTCTTACATATTTTTTCTTATTTATTTTTATTTACAAAATATATTGACTGATGTATGAAAGCACTATTTTCTCAATATTGTATTGTACATTGTATTACAATACATTCATTACAATTGTTTTTTCAACGTTTCCTTCTTAGAGTCAAGGTATAGTCTTCTGTATTCTTGGACACAGCGTAAGAGCAACTCAAACGTCTTATCATCTTTAATTAAACTCCCATGAAAATCTTCCATAAGTTAAACTGCTCTTTCTGCTGTATCATTTAGTACGTTTAACTTGCATACAATTTCTCTTCCGTATAAATAGTTAATTTGAGTGTTCCATGTACTCGGATAATCATTCAAAAAATTAATACTCATTAGCTATTAGCTAATAGTAGTTCATTTTTTTACGTATAAACTTAAATTGGGGGGAAGGAGACTGAAGAAATATTGAAATTGATAAATATAAGGAACACCTTAATATATATATGCATAAGAGGTGTGTTCAAAAAGTTTCAGGACTATTTAAATTGTGCGCCAATGGAGTACCCGAGAGCTGTAGGATTTACATCCCTGGGTTCTGTGACTTCTCCTGAGAACATCTGTTTTTGTAGACTGTCCATAATCTTCTTTGTTTTGATGTCATCAATGTTTTTTGTAAAATATTTTTTTCGCATTTGGCGATTTTTAATAAATCCAAAAGAAGAACTTTGTTGAGGGGGGAAGAATTATTCCTCTAATTTTATTGACAGAATCTTGTTTGAGGAATGCAACGTGTTTCACATGACTTTTGAACATTAGATATATTATTATAGCTTGATAATTCTTTGTACATTTTATACAAATATTGTATATTGTATATTGCATTATACCTACATAGTACATATAGTAGGTATTTATGTATAGTACTATAATGTTTATAGTGTCATAAATCTGTGACTGTGACAATAATGTGTTTAAGCATTTAAGCATCTTATCTAAAAGGGGTTGTCTATTTATTAATTGTCGCACGAAACAATACCTAGGCCCTAGATGAATACTTGCAGTGGGGCTGTCCACTCTAGACAGCAGATACAGATTTACTAATTTGAAAATAATAGAAAACCAGTTTATTAGATTGCACGAGATTAGTTCAATTCTAATTTTCTAATTTTTAATAAATAAAGATAATACATTATTTCACTTATTTTGAATAATTTGTATTATTATATTCCAATGTTTTTTATTATATTTCAGATTACGGATGTTTATACTGTTGTCATTTTTCGTGAAAATTAATAAAATATTGCTGTTTTTTTTTCTTATATTAAATGTACAGGTGTTCTGCTCGGAAGGGAATAAATTATGGCCAAGTTACTATATAACTGAACATACCTAAGCATAACTGAGCATTAAATATTAATTTGGTAGTCATTACAATACTGATAAACAACACAACGGCACTAACGCATGATGAATGATTACGATACGGGTATAGGTAGCAAATATAGGGAGCAAATGTTGAAAAATGATCAGGATAAATAATGATAAAGATAAATGATATAACGGTCTGAAAACGTAATTACTGTATCCATCATATTTAAATTTGAAATATTTGTATACTACTATGATTAATTGTAAAATTGTTTCGTCTAGAGGCTTTCGGTCACCTCCATTCAATCGCTTCGCGAGCTTGTGTTGGACTTTAAATCGGAAATAAATTTTGATTTGTTATGCGTTTGTTAACGTCGGGTAGGCTTTTATTTCGTGTGCAGTATGTTCATATTATGTATGACCGGGTCGCCTTACTGAAAACGATTCTTATGGTTTTCGGATAACTATTTATCGCTGGAGGCCGGCGATCGTTTATTGATAACGCTTTCTTATATTTTCGTTTGATACTATGCACGGGCGAAACCTAGTGGGATCAGCTAGTTATATATAAAAATGGAATTTGAAAATCTAGATATACGGTAAAAACCGTCTTATTGCGTGACTGCGATAAATATAATAATTAATAACGTATTTTATAGTAAATTATTAATATTCTACAATGAAACAAAATAACAAATTATTTCTTTTACAACGTGAAACATCTAAAAACTTATACTATCAGTCTTGTAAATATAATACTTGTACCTAAGTTTGTTCCTGATAGGAAACGCTAAAGACTTAGTTCTTAGATATAGCCGTATGGGTATACTTAATTACTTACCATATTATGATAATTTTTTTCACTGTATAGTCGTTGGTTTTGTTTGTATATTATTTTTGTTATTTATAATAAATGTAGACATATTTTATATTATATTAGGTACTTAACTTTTAAATTATTAAAAGACAATGGGGAATACGAGAAATACGCTTATAAAACTAAACCGCTCTTTTGCATAACATTGTATCTACGTATTACGATTCATTAATGTGCCTCGAATAGTAATCATTTGTTCGACATCATAATATTATCGAGTAGTAGATACAACAGCGTATTTAGCGATTTGTCATTTACAAGTAGAATGGAATTCGCCTCTCCTTCATTATCACATTTTTTATTAAATAAGAAAAAAAATATGAAGAAATTTATTATTAATTAAATTATTATTTATTTTAAAATATAAAAAGAAGGCAGGCATAAAACATGTTTGGTATATTTAATAATAAAATGAATACAAAGGTTATTTTTATTCTTACATTAAAATTCGAAACTTTTAACTGTGAACTATTTTAGCATGCTATACAAAATAAATCATTTTCATATAATATTACTATTTATTGCTGGAAAATTTAAAAAAACCGTCAAAATATTATGGAAAATCAAATTTCGTTTTGGAAAATGTTATAACATTCAATTTTGTAGCTGATCTAGGCTGACTGGTCAGGTATATTTTTTTGTGTTTTTTATTAACAACATAAAATATGAACAATTATTCATTATTACATTACCTTTGGATAATTGTTAGTGTTTTATCCCAATTTTCGAAAACAGTATAAAAAATCATCGGTATAAGGTATGGAAAAAACCCTATCTGATAAATTTATTATCTGTGGTAAAAAATAAATTTATTTATTTTAGATTAGGAGAGCAGCTAAAAATTTATTAATTTTATTATGATGTATGTTTTTATTGTTTTTCTATCTATAAATAACTTTTCGAAAAGAAATCTGGCTCTATTGTAGAGAGTATAGTACTTTTTCTGGAGGGAAATTTTCTCAAGTTGGTGTATGGGGGAGGTTATTATCTTTCAAGGGGTTTTGAAACACTTTGGAAAAACCTGAAAGAAAAATAGTAGGTAAAACGGCAAATATTTACGGCACGCCGCAGCGTTGCTGATTTTATTGTTTTTAATATTTGCAATTCACGTTTTATACCAGAAATATTGTTCCAATAGAAAAATAACAACCGACCTTTTTGTTGAACTTTTGATCTAGGTGGCGAGTAAGAAAGTCGTTTTTTTATTTTCCTTGTAGTTTTATTAATAATTAGTGTCTTCAAAATGCATTTTTCATCTGCAATAACATTGCATTTTATTTGTCATACAAGTGTTTGTATCTCCAAAACTGAATTTAAAGGCTTTTTCGTTTGTTTTACAAATTTGATTTTTGCTAGTACGCCCGTTAAACAGACTGAAACGTGGCAAATAGGACGACGGTATCTTAGGATGTTATTATCCGAAAATCATTCGTAGAGTCGTTACACAATAATCTATATGACGCGAATTCTGTCGGTATGACTGAGATGAAACAATTCACGTGCGGATTGCGAAATCACGTTTCTACGAATACTCTGCCGGCGGGTGTGTGTACGTCCAAGCGAAATCGCTAAAATCCGATATGACCCAGATACACCACTTCGTGCGTCGTATAAACGTGAAATTCTGGTACGACGTTAGTGCGAGAATCCCACGGCGAAAATGATCATGTCCACTGAAACTGCATCATACCGGGTTCGTATTCTATTATAGCGGTCCTACCATTACACGTGAACAATTTCAATGGTCGTAAAAATCATATAGGTAATCCGAAAGGTGTTCGATTTCCTAGGAACCCAGATTTACAATTATAATGCTATATGATTTGGCCAACATACCATTACTGTTATTCAAAAAAAAACATTTCTCATTTCTCCAATATGAATATAATACACCTAAAACTCAAAATATATACCATGTTCTAGATAACAGTAGTTATAATAAATATTAAGTAACATTTTAATCATCTGTCTATGTTTATATGTCTCTTGTAGTAGGTATTATTTATGTTATAAGAATTAAAAGATAACCCTGGGCCTCCACACGAGTACCTTTCGGTGAGGCCCAGTAACCGTTAGTCCTATAATACAATATACGCGTTTCGGCGATATTGTTCACTGCAATCATTGAGCGATAATTGAATGTGCTTTTCGATAACCAGGTTACCGAAATTAACGAATAATTAAAAACTGTGATTACTGACCATGGGCGTATATCCAGGGGCCTCTCCAGGTCTTGATGATTGGGGGGAGAGGGCGAAATAATTTAATTTAATATTAATGATTGATAAGAAAAAAAGACTAACACATTTCGCATGTGGGTGGACCATTGTTATAGATCAGGAGTTGGGAAGGTAGGATATTGAGAGAAATTTAATGTACATCTGTACCTAAGCAAATTTATGCATTGCTAATAAAATTCTGAGCGGAGCTTGGTTAAGAATATTGTCCAGGGGCATCATCGGGTCAATTCCATGAGGGGGGATAATTTTTACTCTTAAATACCATCGCTTTGTTCAACAAAAACCTAAAACTTTTATGTCTAATGTCATTTCAACTAATATTAGTTTAGAAGACTGCAGATATATTGTACAAATACAGTAAAACAGTATAATTTAAAAGTTAAATTTATTTTTTTGACATTAAATAAATAATAATTAAAATAATGATAATATGAATAACAAATTAATACTTGTAATAATAATAATTAATAAAATTTAGATGACCAAGTCCAAAATACTTTTATTTTAAGCGTTTTGCAAGCGGTTTGATTAACAATATTTTCTATACCTATTAATGTTTTCATTTCATTGAATACCTATTTAAAAATGATAAGCCAGTTAGCCTCTGTTCAAAATTCTTTTTTTTTTACCACAATACGATTTTTAATGAATCTCATGTCAAATTATCAAACATTTCTGTTTGGTCTAACAATTTTATCCACAATTAAAATGTCTTTAAATTGCTCAACAATTTTACCATGTCAAGAAAAGACAAATATAAGTTTCTGCCCAAATTTCAAGTCTCAACGAATATTTTTAACTGAATTATAAAAAAAAAAACAAAATTGAAAATAATAAACGCATTATTTTCGTAAATTTTCTTACGTTTTATCCTGGATTATCTTGAAATTAAGGAAACTGCTTGAAAAATCAGAAATGACCTTCCTAAAATACCATCTAGTCAATATGATAATATTTTCTTTCAAAAAAGGTGATACACTTACATATTGAAGACAGACATTTTTGTCACAGTAAAAAAAAAAAACATTGTAAATCCAATAGGTACATTCTTCGCCACACTCAGAATATAAAATTTAAATTAAAGTAATAACTTTACAAATTGATTGTTTATACTTAGTTTTTCATAATTCTATCTCACCCTTGAGAGAATATTTATTGAAATTTATAAATGAGAAGTGTTTTATTCTTGATTTAATTACAGTATTTCTAAAATCTGGAATCATCTTTATGGCATTTGGAACCAGTTGCATTTGTACTTAAGAATTATGGATAATTTGCATAATATTAATGAACATCACACGGCTTACGAGGGTTGGGGGCAATCGCTCCCTCGTCTACTCTCAAGGACTCGTCTGGTATAGCTATGTTTCCTATTAGCGGGCGAGCCAAAACTGCTTCCGACCTTTTTTCGAGGTGGTATAAGTACATTCCGAATATTATTAACCCATTTTGAATCCGATTAATGTATTCAATGTATAAGGTACACATTTTTTTATTAATATCCAGTAAACTCAAATTTTAAATTTCTAAAATTATACAAAATTTACTACACTATATTGTACATTATTTCCCATAATAAGTTTAAGTCATTGAAGTTTGTGTTATTTTCAACGGTATACTTGAAAGTAGAGTCTAGATCTGGATGATATTTTATAATAATGAGCTGAAAACGTATACGCTACTGCTCGCTCATATTATTCGTTTTATCGAACATCAGACGGAGCTGTTTAATATATTTATTCTAAATGTCTGGTTAAAACCGTAATAGAACGATTATTATCCTTCCACGTCAAGAACATAATTTTTTCTCGAAGTATTCCAATATTAGAAGAAGGTGACTTGTTTTACAAAATTATGAAGGTGCATAGAACCTGAAACGTGGGCGCAAAAGCTAATAATAGACTCATATAATATGTATATGTCATTTAAGAACGGTAAAAAAGGTTGTTTAAGTTCCTCAGACTTTATTTGTCTGTATACTGATTGGCCCAACTGAAAAATAAGCAACGACTAAGAGAAACTGTAGGAAAACTTCCTTATAAGCGTTGATGATTGCCTTCTGAAAGTAAAAGGACGTAAAATGAAAGCTGACAAATTTACGGCGTACGATTTTATTGTTTACAGTTTTACGGTTTATGTTTTCTATCAGAAATATTGCTTCAATCAAAAAACGATATGAGACTCATTTGTTGCATTATGAATCTTATTGGTGTATTAAAGAAGTAATTTTTTGATTTTCCAAGTGGCTTTCATAATAATTGGGAAAAACGGGAAAATGTACGTACATGTATAAAAAAAACTTTGCTCCAAATCGTCTTTCGCTAACAATGGTTTAAAGTTGCTTACAGATATAAATTAAATAACTTAATGTATCCTAAATTTCCCACTTCCCACCTACAACAGTGGCACGCCCTCCCTAAGTATCGGCTTTTCTTTTAAATTTATTTTACATTTTACCGAAAGCACCACATAATACTTTTAAATATTTTGTCATATTCATATGAACACAAGAAAATAATTGTATTAACATTTTTCATTATTATTTACTTTGTATAATCTTGTTATTTAAGACTTCATTTTTATTTTATTTTTTTAGTCTTACTATATATATTTGTATTATTATTTGAGCAAATCTTATCATTTAATCGTCTTCTTATCTACTTATTTATTTATTATTTTATTTATGTCATGGTTAAATAATGAAGTAATTTAAAATAAAAAAAAATAAGTTTTAGTCTTATAATATAAGGTGAGTATCTTTCCACCCTTTCGTGAAAATAAAAAATCTGACAATGGATTATTTAAAGTGTACGATATAGTATGAAAAAAAGTTTTAGATTCTGAGCGGAGCGAACGACGTATTGGTTTTACATTGATATTTATTTTTAATTTTTTATGTGAACACTTTTTCTACTAGAAAACTTCCTCCGATTATCAAGTATAGCCACTTTTCCGAAAAAAAATATTCTCTGGGTGGTCTATTTTGAAATTCTCATTAATATTTGAGATAATGAAGAAAACCTGGTTTTTTAGGTTAAAAAAAAAATTGAAAGATTAAAAATAAGGTTGTCATTAGAAACCGTTTTTATTTATTTTTAAGTTTTTATAATTTTATAATCTTTTTTAAACACTCATTGTTGTCATGGAAACACACATTTTTGAAAAAGCAATTCTATAGACCGAGCTGTATTAAACTTCACTTAGAATCGTTTTTCGTTTGCAACGGTTATCGTTGCTTAAAGATATACATTAATTTTCCTTCTGTATCCTACCCTTTCAACTTCTCACCTACAACAGTGGCTGCATCCAAGTGCAAAGTATGTCAGTTAATTTTTTAAGATATTTGTTGATCTTTTTAAAATGTTGCTAAATAGCAATGTAGAGAGAAAACCACCAGGGGTGGTCCTCTGAAAACTGAGTAAAAACAGAAAATCTGATATACTCCGGTCGGTGAAAGAACGCTTCTCCTTCGCGTGTCTAAATGAATGAGCTTCGCCGTTTCGGGCCCAAATAATTGGAGCAAGATTTCTGGTAGAAAAATTGTTCACATGCAGAAAAAAAAGGACACACCATCATCGTCACAGAATCATAGTAGTAACCGTCATATTAAAATTTAAAATGAATAATATTCATTATAGTATAGGTACTATGTAAGTAAAAGCTAGCCTGCAGTTGCAGTAGGTAGTGTTTGTTTTCGGAAATAATGAACTACTGAATTATGTTTGAAAATTGGTGTGGAATGTGTGGAGGGCTATGCCCCCCACGGGTTGGGTTGAGTTCAATAATTGTAAGAAACGTTCATTTTTTTTATGTATTATAGTCCCTCCTTTTATTTTATAAATACGAGCAATACCCTCACCTACACGTAAGTAGCAAATAACAGGCAACAGCACACTGTTTACCAAAAACTGCGTCACCAAAACACGCCTAATATTATATTATTATTAAATTGTATCTAGTCCTGAAACTTCGAACGGTAATTTTTATTTTTTTGGAATTTTTCGTGACGACTGCGGATCTTATATATATTTTATAATTATTATTGTTGGAGGTTATTCGAGAATCGCAAACTCGGCGGCGCACGCCTCGAATAAAACTTAACCCTCATGCATTGCGTCGTGTTTATCGAAGACTCGATAAGTGTCAATCGTACAATAATTATAATAAAATCCTGTACCGCATATAAGTAGTATCTAATAACAATTTATAATAATTATAATTATATCAAAATAAACACGTGGGGACTGTTACTCAGTGGCGTGTCCAGGAATTTTCAATGAAAGGAGATGTAGCAAATGAGAATCGTGAATAAATCGTATTATGCGAATTGGTAATTTAAAAGCCAGATTCTAAAAAAAAGGCAATCTCTAACCAATACATCAAGCTTTATTTTCTCGTAACTTGGCTGAAATATATGTATAATTATTATTAGATTACTCGTATTTGTTTGTATTTTTAAGCCAATGGGAGGGGGGGTGTAACCACCCCTTTGCGAACGTCACTACTGTTACTCAATTTTGAATATTATTAACGTTCATTTTTTTTTTTAATAAAACACCTAATTAACATTTTTCTCGCATTATAATTTATTGACTTGATGAGTAGAATCTATTTTTTTGTTATACTTTAGTTTTATCTGAAGGTTTTTTTTTATGAGGCTATTTAACTTGATCGAGTTAATTATTTCCGTCCATGCCTTTGTACGATATATACTATTATTATAATAAAAATAATTGTATCGCGAAGATTTCAACGGATTTCGGACTCCGGCCGCGACAACGATGTCGTGGGTGGTCGTAACAGGGTCGCGGTGCGCGCGTTTGTACATAATATTATTATCGTATCGATTGGACGGCCCCCTCTAGCCCCCCTCACATGTTTTTACTCTATATAACAGTTTGTCCGCGGGGGGAAGGAGGGCGCGCGCGTCTGAGTGCCGCGGCGAACGCCATCAACGGCGGCGGCGGCGACGACGACGACGACGACGACGCGAACACCGGTAGGACGCGCGCGCACGCACAACGTACCTAGCCCACGTCCAAAGCGGTACGGCGTGAGTTAGGTCGCGCGGGCTTTGTGCACATACTTGTCTGCGGCCGCGTGTTGTTCGGGTGGTGGCGCGTGCGATGCGATCCCGATCGTGGGTTACCGGTGGCACGACGACGACGACGACAACGATCGCGACAGCCGCAGCAGCCGACGACGGAGAACGCGACGGGCAACAACGTCCCGACGACGACGCTGCGACGAAGACTACAGCGACCGCAGCAGCGCCCGGTCACCGACACCGACGTCGAATCGCGGCCCACTGGCATGGCCACGGCCGACGTCCGATTGCAGCATCGATAGTAGTGGACTATTACGACAGGACATCACGTTGCCGACGCACCGGCACCACTGCCGAATATTATTACGCTTCCGCCGCCGTTAGTATAATAATAATTAGAGGCCGGAATTATATGCATTTAAAAATTATCAAATACGATGCAGATATGCATACAAAAAGTGGCTAAATATGCAATTATATGCATTATATTATACTTAATAAAATATGTTTAAAAAACAATAAAATACCATTTTGCACCAAGAATAAAAATATACTTAGTAATAATTTATTACATATTAATATATTATATTTTTTGAAAAACATATCTGAAAACCTATCAATAAATTTTCAAAATAATAAAACTAAAATCGCATGCTTTTTACCACACAAGATTTTAAAATATAACGACACATCTCATACACGACAAGAATGATAAACGAATTCATAAAATGATAACACCAAGACATCCGTTATTATGAGCCATAGGTTTGAGCTCCGATTTCATACACTGTGGCAAATATAACAATATTTTAACAAAATTCCTCTAAGAAACAATGTCAACAACTTTTTTTCTAAAGTACAATTGATTTATCAATAATAAATACACATTATATGCATTTATGAACTAATATGCAATAATCAAAGTCAAATTTGGTATTTGAATTCGGTGTGATATGAATTGTAGACATTTAAAACCTCCATCGACGTGCATACACTATGTACAAACATGGAAATGCATATAATTCCGGGGCTCTAATATTAATAAATAATAATATTATTATTATTTTTGTTTTTTTTTTTTTTATCGCAAAACGGTGGACACTGTGTCACGAATTTAGCAGACAAGTTGACGTCGAATGTATTATCGTTTTTGACAGGACGCCTTTAAGCAATAATAATTAATGTATAGGTATATTTTAGAAACGTTCTGTCGATATTTTTTTTTTCCATTCCAACAGTCTTTCACCGTGATTATTTACCACGGCATTTTACCGTCAACGTATATAATTTGCTCGTACATACTAATCGCCCGACAGGTCAAAGGTTATGTGAGGTTAGGGTTAGGGTCGTTCGAAGTAATACGATACGCGTATCAATTCTTCAAAGGGACAACATTTCGAAGTCGAGTCCTTCGATTACCGAGGCATGGAAAACATAACTAGGCCGACTGATATTACTGTGCATAATATACGAGAAACGTGGTTTTGTCGACGTCGACCGTGGAATATTTCACTCGACACGAAAATATAAATATACCGTCAATATTTGCTCGTTTTTCTTTGTAGTATTTTGTTCGAGATGTGAAAACAACAGCAGCCGTCCTGTCAATATCAGTTAACGCTAAATGTCGAATACCCGCGAGTCGTTTAATATTATTATTCGCCCAATAGTTCGCCCAAACAATTATTTTTCTTCTGTAACTTACCCACCCATAATTAGTTAATTATTTTCACCATAAATTAATTAACTTACCTAGTTTATAGTTTCCGTCGTAAAAACTCAACTATATGTACAGTTTAAGTCCCACCTAAGTTATGCTTAGCAGAGAGTAGACACTCAATATATTTTTATATTAAATACATAGTTGACCTAGTTAGTTCGTTAAATAAATGATACCATTGGCTTCGTTTGGGAACAAACGTATGTATCATTGGTTTTCAGACTTCAGATCACAGGTAGACAAAAACTGATTAGCTGATCGAGTATCATTTCTATATTGAACTTTGATTATAGCTGACTTGATTTGAAGGCAAATTAATGAGTAGGTTTTTTTTTTGTCAAATATACATTTATTTATTACTGTAAGGATAGGTATCATAATCGCATTGCAATATAAAAACATAACTTACTAATTAATATTACTAAAATATTGAATATTTTTGACAAAATTTGATTTAATCAAATTATTTTTTTTTTCGTAAACTCGCTGAAAATTTAATATCCACACAATCGAAATTCGTTTGTTAAAATTACACGTTTGGTTAAGGGTTTTTTACCTATAGACAAAGTGACTTCATACACGTGTTCACCGGTGTATTGATAACGAGTTGGTTTAAATATAAAATAAATATGTTTTTCGATTGGATACAGGTATACGAGTACTTGTTATGTTTTTAGGTCATGGTTTATATTTCAGTCAGGCATCCGCCGTCAGATTTTTCGCACGGCCACCATTTCCCCTGGCCTTTTAAACGTTTCTACAGCGTTGGTTATCGAATTACCCATGTCATTTAACCCATCAAAACAATTTGGGACGGCAATATATTTGTTTGCGATGGTGTAATTGCAGAATTTATATTATAAAAATGTTAAAGAAAACTGCAGCGGGAGAACGCGTCGAATCTAAATTTTATAGCTTTTGAGAGGGCCGATGAAAATAATGAATTATACTTTCTTTTCTGCGAGTAATACGATACATTTCTCGGACGGGATGGGAATTCGCTCTAAAAGTCTTAATTATCCATTTGCATACCTACTATATAGTTTGGAAATCGGACGCGTGTTATACTTGCTGCATTTTAAAGATGTCGTTTTTCAAATTACTTGTTTTAAAATTCGATTATGAAACAAGCAATAGCAGTTTGACGCTGAAAGAGCTTAACTGTAAAAATCACTTTCGATTACAAAATAAAAGTGTTTTTTTCAAAGCAATAAGCTTATAGAGGTGGTATTTTTTAATACGATAAGCAGATATGTCATTCGTAATAATATTATAAATCGTTATTATTATATTTTCCTAGTATACAAAGTGATTCCTTTATCACGAACCAGCGAAGATAACTATACAAAGATCTCGAAGAATTTTAATTTTTGTTTTTTTTTTTTTTTTTGACAATATGTTGCATATTTATGTACCATTTTTTCGAATAATTGAAACTATAATAATATAGACTACACATATCATCGAATATTTTGATTTACAAATAATAACTTATATATTTTAACTCGCTATACAGAAGAAAAATAATGCTGTATAGATTATATGTACCGTTTATCCGAGTTATACCTGCCGGTTGTCTATGTATACTAGTTAAAAATTTAGCTGGGAAGTGTAGGAAAGGATTGAATCCATTTAATATCCGTATTTAAATATCCCTGTATTTATATTTTTGATTCCAAATCTATTCGTATTGGTTTTACTGTGAAATGTGTTTCGATTTAAATAATTTTTCCCCAGTCTTTTAATGATTTGTCTATCAAAAACCTTGCTCTGATCTTCGTGTGTAGCATTTTTTCTGAAAGCAAATTTTGTCTAAATGATTTTCCTTGTAGTTTTCTAAATAGTTGGGAAAAAACGGAAAAATGTATATACAATACCGTTTTCGTTATTTTTGGTTTAAAATGATCGTAGAAACATTTTCATAGAAAAAAAAATAAATATTATCATAAAATATTATTTATATTAACTTTTGCAAAACATTTTCTTGGTTTTTGAGCTATTTCTTCAGCCATTTGAAATTTTCTAATTTGTTTTAGTATTTATTTGGATACAAATATTTTTGCCTGGCTAATATGTTTGGAAATTGAACACAAGGTTCATCTTAAGTTCCACTTAGTGGTTAAGAAAAAGTTGATCGTAATTTAGTAGTTACTTTTCTAAAGGTTTTAATTTAAAATTTTAATGTAAATTCTATAAAAGTCACTGAATTTCTAAACATATACTGTGTTTAACCGAACTTTGATCGGAATCGTTTTTTGTTTATAATGATCAAATATCGAATATTTTATATGTATCCTACCATTTCAATTGTCTACCTATAACACTGACATGCTCGTCTGTAGTGTATATCAACACTTTTTAATAATTTTATTTTTAGCGCAAATGTTGAAAAGGGCTACTCAATTACAAATACGTTACTAACCGTGTAGGTGCATCAATGATAACAAGAATAATGCTTTAGCATTTTTTTTGGGGGGATAGACCTATTATACTGTTTTTTTTTTATGAGAACCTTTGGTTCTACGGAAATGAGTAAAATTAGTATAATTTAGCAAAGCCAACAATATGCCTTTTTTTTTTTCACTAACTGTCGTCACCGACTACATCATATGATTTTATGTACGACAGCAGTCGTATTGTAGACACGGTTCAACAATACTGAATGCGCCTATTTTTAAACAGTATAATATATTTCTCTAAAATATATTGTAAATCCATTTCCTTGCACATCTGTGTTCATCAATGAACGTTTAAAGATCCGAAACAGAATTTTATATTGACACTTCATGTCGCGTTCGTTTTCAGATGACCTATTTGCGCGCTTGTATTGGCGTGTTCGGTCATATAATTTAATAATGTACTGTATACGAGCATCGACGATTGGATTAATATCGCTTAGGTATGTGGAACGATATCCATACTTAAAATTATAGTGCTACTAAATAAGTTATAGCAATCCGTTTCGGATACTCGGACGCAAAATGCGGCGGTGTGTCTATTCCCCGAAGAAACGAGAAAACCGAGCCCAATAAACGATTAAAATCGTTTCCTGTCGGCATATTTAATTATTGTGAGTATTATTGCTGAATACAGGCCTGATACGAGCATTTAAACACATATAAGTAAACTTAAGTTTTGCCGCTCCTTATTCATCTAAATATTACGTTTTTAAATGTTACCCCTGAAAAATGACGCTCTAGGCGTGGGCCTATGTTGCCTAACCCTTGAGCCAGGCCTGGCGCAGACCTTAGGACGTAATCAAATAAAATTATAGTTACATTCGAAAGGATTTTTCACAACTATGCGAATAACTTTCAAACATGTTTAAATGTATATTTGAAGAAAATTCGGTATAGTTTTGGTAATTATCATATTATATATAAGGCCTCACGTGATTTTGTAATATGTTTTTATTCTTTTTATAACTACGGCCGAATATTATTTTTTATTTCGATAGTACAACATTTTCGACATTATTTGAATAATAATAATTATAAATTATATCTGAAAAAACATTTACTAAACTCTGGCCACAGTCGGTCGGCATAATACCTGTTCTTGTATAAAAATACAATACATATTTAATGCTGACCATAAACGGCTAGCATTTCATATTATTATACTATATTTACAAACGGCAGTGCCAATATTATTGTTGTGTGCATACTCGTCCATCTAGGTCGAGTTTTTTTACTTTTTTTTTTTGTTCAAGTCCGTTATTTCGACGGCAACTGCGGGACGGTCATTTCCCCCAGTATCAGGTAAATAGCCGCGGTCTTTGAAATAATTAAAACACAATGTTATGTACATCACGAGGTTGTGTATAGGTACTATGGTAACACGAATTCGAATACTATGAATGTCATTTGGTTGTTTTTTATTCTCATAAATCGGAATATAGTTATCCGTTCCGTAGTCTGCGACCAGTTACAATACAATGCTGCAACGGTTTCAAAACTTCCAAAATTGCCTGTGGTTAAAATCTACTTGTTTTAGATTCTGAGCAGAGTGACCTACATTTACAATGATTAGTTTTATTTGTTTCTGTAAACAATATTTCTACCAGAAATGCCGCTCCGTTTTACAATGATAGCATTTTTTCTAAAACGAAATCTTACTGGAGAGGTACTTTAAATGGGTCATTTTTTTAATTTCCCAAGAATTATCATGAAAAATGGGGAGAAACGGTAAAATTTACGAAACGTATTATTTACAAATCGTAAATATTACGGTCTTTCAAAACATGTATAATCGAACACCGCTCAAAATCGTTTTTCGTTAAAAATGATTAATCGTTACGCAGATATGCATTCAATTTAGTGACCAACCTATAGTGCGAAGTATGTCCGTTTGTTATTGTTTTTTTTGTTTTGTTGACTTAGACTCGAGGACTTTTTTTTCTGCTCATAAAATGATTCTAATTAAAACAGCGACCAATTAAAAAAACTCATAACAAATGATGCCGTGGTATTTGCATTTTTAAACAACTATGGTGGGTATACGGAAGTCCGATAGTGTCTCTCGAAGATGGATATTTTAATTTTTTTATTTCTAAGGATTCTTACTTGAATTTTGGACTGTATGATTTCTCTGGTATATGTCTTGATTCCTGAGGGTACACGGGGAGAACATTACTTAAATTAGTTTGTTTTTATAGCTAATAATAGAAACCCGCTCCTATTAATGAACTCCGTTCAGAATCGTTTTTCGTTGGCCATGATGCGAATTATTCCCGTCCGGATTTTTAATATTATTTATAATCCAGTTGTTTTAAACATGTGACCGTTTATTTGGATTTAAGTTCAAATATTCTCATCATAAACCACTGCTAAGTAGTCGCTGCAGTGTACTTCATTGTTTCTATATACTTCTGCAGACTGTGCGGTAAACTTAATGCGTCTACATTCCGTATTGATTGTAAATATGCTCCCACGGGTTCTTAGAAACGTATAAATGGCACTGATCACCTATATGAATTTATATAGGTTGTGCAACGGTTAATGATCCCGAGTCTGTACACACTCCATTATTGTAACCGTTTGGCGTCTGCATATACTTTAAAAAATTAAATTTGATAGGACCGTTTAATTACTATAAATCATGATTTAAACCAAATCGGTTTGAGAATATTGTAACACACGTATTTTACATGTCGTAATACGACAAATGCCGTTTTTTTACTCCTGAAGCATCGATCGATAGTTATGACAAATTCCAAAACTTTTATAATTCGATTTGTATATAATAACGCGATTGATGTGTGGGTACCTATGTTTAATTGGTTTTACATATATTTATTTTATTATGTATCCAGATAAAATAATTATTAAATATTTCAATAAATTATAATAACATAATTTAATTACAGTTACTATATACCTATCTCTAAAAATTTCAACTAACTTATAAGATAATAATAAAAAAAAAAATGATATTTTAATCCCATTATAAATCGTTATAGGGGACAAAATAAATGTCCCTTAAATGAAAAATTAGTTGACGTAGAACTCGCCTGTACTGTATGCGTGACCGTTAGGTATTATTGGATTCTTTTTTATTTATTTTTTTTTATTATGTTGCGAGTGAATATCCTTTATAATAATATAATGAAATTGATGTAAAGTTATCGATTTGATTGCAGAAAAAAAAAATTGAAAAATTGATTTAAACATCATTAATTATCATTAAAAAAAAAAAAGCTTTATTCGTATAGGTCTTTGCTCAAAGAAAAGTTTAAATTCAATTTTGAATTTCATTCTTCACATTATATTTTCGTTTAAGAAAATATATTTATCGTATAGGTATTTATAGTTTATATACTTTCATAAAAACTCGAACTAACTATAATTTTGAAATAACAATGAAATTATTATTTTAGGGAGAGAGTAAGATCGGAAAAGAGGTGGTTGGATGCTTGGATGTGATTGAGAATGATACGAGGACAGCCTGTGTATGCAAGGTAGGAAATCGGGTCAAGTGGAAGTGTAGAACAAGAGCGGTCGATTCCAAATAGTTAGGACAAAGTTTAAGGAAAAGAAAAAAAATAAAGAAACGTAGGAAAAAAAATAAAATCGCATGTTGCTATACCTAGTTAAGTATAATTATTTAATTTATTGGTAATTAAAAAAAAAGTATTGTAAGTTATAACACAATATTCACCAAATGAATTATGAAAATTAAAAACTGAAATGTCTTCGATACCTACATGATCTCTTGTATTTTTTTTAGTTTTATAATATATCTTGCAGGTCCTAAAACACATGGGATTTCAGGGGCACACTTTTTAATTCAATTGTTACCTTTAACGGATTCTCATACCAAAATAAAAACCTGTGGGGGTTGTAGCGCCCAAAATTCTGGAACGAATGCAGTATAACTCCCAAATGATTTTTTTTACTAATATGTGTGTTTTTTCATGTTCAATTTGATGGTACTTTCAAAAAAAAGTCGCTCAAACTTCATTTGGAAGTTATGGTCAAAAAACTTCAAAATGCTCGATTTTTCTAAAAATCGTGTTTTTAAGTTTAAAATACCAAAAATTTATATTTTTAGATTTTTTTTATAAATGGTAGTTATTATATGCTTAACATTTTGGTGTTATCAGAATTCACCCATCGTACTTATTCTTTTTATGTATTGACAATAAATCACGTCAAACCTAATTATAATGTTATTTCAATAATTTGCTTATTATAGTAAATCAAAATTGACTTTTTGGACTTGTTTTTTATTTAGTGTGTAATAACATAAAAATTTTTTGGTCAAATCAGAACTAATTAATATTTTTTGGTTTGGAAGAAATAGTGGAAAAATGCATCTTTTTTTAATGGATGTATAAACATCAACTTTTGAAAAATAAAGTTTATTTAATACTGTTTTATTTTTTTTACTTTCTGAGGTCAAAATAATTAAAAAAAAAACCTCCAATGAGGATAGAGGTGGAGGAATGGTGAAATTAATACAACGATTATAACGTCAAATTATTGTTATTTATAACTAGGGCTATGGGATTTTTGTAAGAAAGTGCATTTTTTTTTAATGATTAGAAAACACAGCTTTGTAAGTAAATAATTTAAATTATGTAACAACAAATCCATTTATGCAACTTTTATTTTTCACTTTTTTGCATTTTTTGATGTTTTTGCCTTTTTTGGTCATATTTTCTTTTTTTAGTTCATTTGCCGATATTTTTGATCAAATTCCGTCAATTAACATTTTTGAAAACATTTTTTTTTGTTTTAATAAAATAAAGACAAACCTTTTTTTTAAAAAAGTGTTTCAAGTGAATAGAATTATTAAAGAATTAATCAATTTCAAAATAAAAATTCAAAATTCGATCAACATTTTTATAGTTTTTTTTATTAAATAAATAAATTTGTATGCATATAATATACTAATATCAATATAATTATAAAAAGTAAAAACCATTTTAAGTGCATTTTATACTATAATTTTTGCCATTTTAGTGCGTTTTTTGCATTTTAAGTGCATATTTTATTGTATTTTTTGACATTTTGAATGCATTTTTTAACGGTTTTTAATACATTAAATTCACAGCCCTATTTATAAAACAATAATGAAAAAAGTTTTCCATTTTTTTTTTTTTTTTTTTTTTTTTTTATGAGAATTCTTAGAATAATCCCGACATCTCTATACAGATCCGTCAATACAATTAATTTTCAATAACTTGAAACCTAAAAAATAACTAAAAATCCCTTAACATTTTCACTCAAATAGCTCATAAATATCAAAAAAATATTCGTTAGTTCTGATTTCACCAAAACTTTTTTATATTATTTCACACCGAATGAAAAAAAAAAGTACAAAAAATCAATTTTGAGTTACTTTAATAAGCAAACGATTGTAATAATATTATAATTAGGTTTTATGTGGTTTTTTAACAATAACATAAAAAGTAAGTACGATAGATGAATTTTGATTTCACCAAAATCTTAAATGTACAGGCACCATTTCTAAAAATAAAAATTCCAAAAATATATATTTTTGGTGTTTTAAACTCAAAAACACGATTTTTTTGAAAAATCGACCATTCTGAAGTTTGGCCATAACTTCTAAATGAGGTTTGAGCGACTTTTTTTAAAAGTATCACCAAATTAAGCATGCAAAACACACATTTTAGAAAAAAAATTTCGAAAAAATCGCTTGGGAACTAAACTGCATTTATGTCACACAAAATAACTAACTACTAACACAACTAAAAGTTCGTGGATATATAATATCTATAACCATGACCGTGGTTGAAGTTTATAATATTTGTTATCAATATATTGAAATAAAAATGTATAATACATTTGTGTTCAAATTCTAGTGTTTGTTATTTTTACAATTACAACTAAAAACACGGTTTAAAATTTCGGATACACTTATGTAATTCAGAGGAAAAAATTCAGAAGACACAAAATGGGTTAGGGGACACAGTATTTTAGGCCATCATATCTTGTATCTTTTATGTTATCATGTATCAAGATAATATTTCTTTAGTGTATTTTGTCCCACCATGGTGTTGGTAGTTAGTTGGTTTTATCGTGATCATCTTTCAGATGCTTTTGAGTTATGGCATCCCTACTTGGCGCGTGACGAGCTTAGACTGGAGCGAGTTCAGAATAAATTTCTATGTTGCCTTCAAATTAAAAATCAATCATTCCATCCATGATTACTCACTTATTTCCTCCACGCTTCAAATTCCTACAATAGCCTCTCGTCGCACTGGAGCTGACCTTCATTTTATATCTTCACATCTCGGGGATTTATTGATTCTCCTGATCTCCTCTTTTCTATATCGTTCCGTGTTCCTACCCACTATACCAAAAATAGTTCCCTTTTTCAATTCCCATACCATCGTACCTCTTATGGGTTTAACCACCCTCTGCACAGAATTTTACAGAGTCTTAATTCAGCCTAGTTTTTTCGTCAATAACTTTCATCAATTAATGTTTTAGCTTATCATATTGTATAATTTTATATTGATATTGTTTTGTCTATGTTATGTACTATATTTAAATTAATGTCTGTTATGGCGTAAATAAATAATAATAATTATTATTATTGTTTAATACGCGTTCGCATCATAATACAGCGGTTCCATTTTTAAACGCGTTTGGCCAATAATAAAGAGCCAACGTGGACGATAGGAACAATAATTATTAATTATTAACAGCGCAGTGTTTGTTTTTTTTAATATGTTCATTGCACGTGTTCATCGTATTGTTATTATTATAAACGAATTCCGTATACTGCGGCCGAACATATAATATACAGAGCGATCCTCTTATCATGAAGCAGTACAATAATTTATAAAGATTTTGATTGAATTTTACTTTGCTTTTATTTCATATGCATTACGGGATAGTTTTATTGATTTTATTTACAACAAATTCACAGATTTACTCTTCACAGATTATACTGTACACATTTTTAGAAAAATGTTTTCTTTTCGAACGTGTGTTTGAATATGTGGATTGCTGTTTGAACATTATGCAAGTTGTGGTATAGTTTATAGTTCGGTTTACTGTTTACAGTATCTATACGGGACAAGGCCACAAGGGTATATAACTTTAGAAATGTAATCAACCAAACCATTAATAAATCTTTTCATAATATATTATAATATTTGAAAATATCACCATCAAACTAATTCAACATCTTTGTATGGATAATCGTTAGTTCGTGGTAAAAAAAAATACAATCCTGTATAATCATAATTAATAACGAATAGCGCAATATTATTGCACGTGCGTATTAGCTCACTTATTTAGTCATATATACACGATTACAACTGAATTCATTGCTCAGCAAATTAGGTATATACTCAGTCGGTCAGTCACTGAAATCGCCATCAAAGGATTTCAGAGCGTTTATAAATATCAACGTTGTTTAAAAATTATGTTATTTATAATATAATATTTTATTGTTTCAGTGTATCGTTTCCAGAGCGCTCAGCAACAATGAGTCTAAAGAAGAAACCCAAAGAAGACGACCACGAAGCACTGGCAGGAGAAGAAGCTGCCACAGGTGATTCGAATGACGATATTTTAATATAAAAATTTAACTATTGAAAAAAAAAAGTTAACCATCGTGTAAAGTGATGAAAAATTCTTCATGTACATACTTTTTCGTTGAGTTATTTACAAAAAAAAAAAAAAATTACCTATCGACTTTTTGTTTATGTTTCGTGAATAAAATGTGTATACAACGAAGCCAACAATAATAATACAAATGTTTGTAATATTATATTTTAAAACAATTCCATCATATAATTTATTATTAAAATCGTATATAAAAACAAAAACAAATCAATAATAATAATAGTATAATAACTATAAGGCTGTGGGTTTGTAGGAAATATCTTTTTTGTCCTTTACAAGACACATTTTTTTTAGTAAAAAGTTCGAATTACTATACGTAATAATGAACTCTGCTTTGAAACTTTTATTTTGCTTTTCTTTGCTGTTTTTGCTTTTTTCGATTTTTAGATCATTTTAGGTCAATCTGACCTAACCTACCATTTTTATGCATACTGTGGGATATGTTTTCGTTTTGTTCCAATATACAATAAATACATTTCTAAAATACTTCTCATAGGTCGTTACTTGTAGGTATAAATTATTACCTCATTAAACATTTTCTTCTCTGAAAATATGTATCTATTCCAAATAGGTGTTAGTGTAAAAGGATTTTAAGTGTTTTTTTTTTTTTTTTGCTGAAACTTTTCATGACATAAATATACCGTTCTAGTAATATCCAATGAAATTATGATTTACGTACATTTCACTGTGGAAATTAGTATACGATAACGAATGAACTTACAGAGGATCCCGTTGGAAATTAAATTATAATTATTCACGACAATAATTGTTTTATTTTTTTAAATTTTATTTCTGTCTACCGTTTGCCCGCGTATTATCGTTTCTGTATCGCTAAGACCCGTTATTACGACATCATGGCGGCACGACAGGCGTATTGTAACGACGATACTCGCGGCCAATATTTCATTTACTTGTATATTCAGCTCGTCAGGTCCAATTCATCCGTGTCATCTACACTGACGCCAAATAATAAATTCTCGTTTTTCATAATACAGGATGATCAGCACAACGTAAGACACTCATAATCTCGGAAAGTATTAACATTTTGCGGAATTTGTTTTTTTAGAATGTTCAAAAAACATAGCACACAGCTCTAAAATGACACATATTGCCGCGCCGCCAAACGAATAATGTTCGACTACACTACTACTACTCTAATTTTACTCAAAAAAGTATAATGGCTTTTTAACGGGTCGACGGAAATCGATTATTTCAATAACAAAATGTATTCAACTAAACTTGTTTATTTATTGAATTTTTAATTTAGGTTGCTATTTTAAAGTAATTGAGTAGTGGTTTCACCTAATACCTGCTAAAATAACGGCGAGAAAAAATAACGGTAATGTAACATTTTAGAGTTGTGTTTGGTTTTTAAACGTTTCAATAAATAAATTTCAAAAAAAAAACGATTACTATTTCCAAGATAATAGTGCCTTACGTTACATGTTATATTCAATCTGTGTATCCACCTATTTTTATAATATATAAAACAGCGTACGGCGTCCGATATACGGACTGACGGTCAAGTATGTATATTATTTTTATTTATCGTTGTCCACCACCCATCCCCGTTCTCACCGACACCGACCCCGATCGCGGGGGTCAATAACACGTTGGTTCTTTTTTTTTTTTTTTTTTTTTTTCATTGTTGTTGTTTTCCATTAATAAATCCATAATGTTTTAAAGGGCCGGAAATAAATAAAGCTGCAGGTTTCCACGGTGTAATGTTTTATTGTATACATTCGCCCGTTAACTTTGATGATTCACCGGTCGATCAAAGTATATTTATATATATATATTAATAATAACAATCGCGATATATCGACCGCTGGCTGTATTTATTTACACGTGGCGGACGGGCCGGGCGAATAAATGGCATTTAAGACCGAGCGTATATACACGACAGACCATTGCCAATGTCAGCGTACTACATATTTTGTAACACGCATACATAGTATTATATAGTTATACTTACTGTAATATGCGAGTACTGTGCGTTATACATCAGCTGTCACTGACCTTCGGCCGTGTCATCAGGTTTAAAAATACTCGTTGAGACACATAACCCTAATGAACGTTTCCCCGTCTGACTTTTACACCTATACACCACAATAATAATATAACAATAATAGTAATGTGTGTAATGTTAATTTTCGCGTTTGTTAATTTTCGCGACGGTTACAGTAATAATTATCTATAGTTTTACGCGTGGACATGCGTAAAATCGTATTTTCCGTAATCGCGTACGATGCGAATGTGACGAAAAAAAAAAAAAAAAAGACGTCGATCCATATTCGGCAAAGAGTCTCATATTATTATATTATTAAAATGGTTCACAAAAAACTATATCGAATTATTTTTCAAAGTGTACTGTCCGTTTTTATTGGTTGCGAAATAATTATTGTTGTTTTTAAAAATTTACTTTTGTTAATTATTGTTGAGGGCAAATACCTTAAGTACGTGAGTTTACATAATACGATTATATGTCTACGTAACTATCACTATTAGTTTGTGTTTATACAAAATTTTTAATGTCCGGGTTTTTTTTTTTTTTTTTTAGAACGTTTCAATGAAAAATCATTCAAATATAATTTACACGTTAGTATACTAGTTTAGATGATGAGATATTATGTATAATAAATTTAAAATACACTTGCGTACAATTAATTTTACCATAAATTTAGGTATATTTTTTAGAGGAAATATGTTTTTGTAATTAAATTCGGCAAAATAGAAAGGTCTTAAAAATATTATTAGGTAAATTAAAACAAATATTTTAAATTTTAAAATACATTACTATAATATTAATATTATTTATATTCCATTTTGCTTATAAGGAAAACTGTAAGCATGAAAAATAATTACTTTATGATATAAGAATAAATTCAAACAATTAAAAAATTATATTCTGACAGCAATTTATATTATCGCACAATTTGAGTAGTAAAATCTGTCAGTATCGGACATAGTACGTATAATTGTTATCAGGAAATATAAACAATTCTTGCTTGCATTTCTGCTGTATGTCACACAATCAATAACAAATAAAACAATAGTGTGTACCCAGTTTCATAATACGACTCGTCACGGTCGTTCAGAAATATTTATCTATAAATATTCATTATAATAATTTCATGCCGGTCATTATTTTATTTATTCGTACGAGTGCTTATTGATACACACAAATAATGCATAATTAATATTATTGTGCATTTTAATTTACAATCATATCCGTGGATTTTGACACATATTGGGTACTGTACGTAAATTTAAACGACTAGACGAGATGACAATAAGATGTGTGTAATATTATAATTTAATAATAACCTATAAATAACTCTATAGTATTCAAATTTCGCTTTTCTTTCTTATAGAGATCGTTGCAGGTATGTTTTTGTCACCAATTTATTTTTACAAATTATTATGTTATTTTGAGTTGACGTAATTCAACTAGGACAGAATTCACGTGGATGATATGACTTGCTGAATCCACGTCATGTCCATAATATCAGTAAATAGGTAGTATTAGAGTGGACACTAGACATAAATTAGATATCCAGTTAATCTTTTATAAAGCTTTTGAGCTTTTGAGCTTTACTAGTTAATTATTTTTGTCGTTAATTAAATTACCTTTATTAAAGTTTAGTTTTCGTTGTGAAACTTAATTTGTTATAATTAGTTTTTATAAACATCCATCATGGTAATATAGTTCACCGGTTGAAAACGAATGATCGAATTTTAAAATTTAACTGAAGGTTTTTTCAGCCACTCGGCTTAACTTAATCAAGTTGATTGTTTTCATTAACTAGTCCACTCAGTCTCCATAAAATATTAACTAGTCCTTGCCATCCGCGTTGTTAGTTGATAGTCAGATATGGGTGACCTGCACCCAGATTAGACAAACATCGTTTTCGTTTCTTCAATATTATACAATGTAAAGATTTTAATGTTATAAAAAAATAAAAAAACTTAATTATACCTAATATTTAATGTACGTTTGTATAGATGGTCAAAACTATATTCTGGTCCCTCCGGACGGCGGATGGGGCTGGCTAGTGCTTTTGGGAAGTACAATGGTCAACATGTTAATTCCAGGCACGCTTAAGTCATTTGGGGTACTGTTCGTGGAATTTACCGAAGCGTTCCACGCGTCAGAAACTGCGGCTTCCTGGATACCTGCCATCTGCTACTTCCTCTACTGTTTTCTAGGTGAATATTGTTCTCTACACTAATATGCAATCTGCAATTGGGTTTAGCTCCCCCACCCCACTCAAACACAACCAAATCTCCTCCCCCTCAAATCAAGTCCTTATTAGGTAACTAAGTAAATATTAAGTATATTTCAGGTGTGGATCCAGATTATGATAACGGGAAGGGGAGGGGGTGATTTTTAATGCTCTTATAAGGTACAAATTTATAATAAGTTCATTGACGAATTAAGCTCAGAGTATATTTGTGTTAAAAGTGTTTAGGAAAGTGATCGCAAAGTGAGGGTGGGTCATGGACCCACCACTGATATACATAATTATTACTATGGGGCCATGGGAGAGTTGAAGTGGGCTAGTTATTAGTGATTTGCACCTATGATTATAAGCGTTCAAAATTGTTTATGAACATATAATTTTTAAATGAAACAAGTTGTATTATAGTCAATAGCATTAAATAATTTAATTTAAATGGAATAACTCCACATTTCATAAGAGTGATTGAAATTTTTAAAATACATTTTTTTTTAAATTTATCTATATATTATTATTATAATAATTTTGTGGATTTTAAAATCGATCAGAATATTATATTTGATTTTAAGATGAATACATACATTTCAAAATCACTTTTAGATTCTAAGTGGAGGAAGGTATGTATTGGTTTTACAATGATGTTTATTTTGTTTTTTTATGTAAACACTTTTTCTACCAGAAATCTCACTCCGATTATCAAGTAGAGCACCTTTTCTGAAAGTAAATGTTCTTTGGGTGGTACTTTAGAGAGGCCATTTTTGAAATTATCGTTCATATTCGAGATAATGAGGAAAACCTGGTGTTTTAGGTTAAAAAAGATTGAAAAATTAAAAATAAGGTTGTCATTGGCAAACGTTTTTTATTAATTTTTTGTTATTATTAAGTTTTTATTTTAAAAGATTAAACAATTATTATTGTCATGGAAACGTACATTGTTATGCTCATTTTACCATAATATGATATATATTGTTGACAAAGCAACACTATCAACTGAACTCCCCTCAGAATCGTTTATTCGTTAGCAACGGTTTATCGTTGCTTACATATATACAATAAATTCCTGTCTGTATCCTACCTTCCCAATTTCACATTTAAAACAGTGGGTATGCCCACGTGCGAAATATGTCAGTCCTTTTTTAGAATAATAATATTAAATCCCGTTATAACTCTCATGATATGAAAGACATATTATTTTTAACGTAGGGCTTTCATACGGTACGTGAAGTTACTAACTTATTAATCGCGTTAATTATTTTTGCCCACCTACGGATTTAATATACTAGATACTAAAACTTAATACACAAAGTAGTATAAATTATAATATTCCGTTAAATTGTTTATTGTATATTTGTATCGATAAAATTGTTACCTACTGCAGGCATATTGTTTTAATAATGAAATATTTCCATTCTTTGTGACTCATAATGACTCGTATAATAAATTTGCTGTATAGTTTTCTATATTATATAAGGCGTACCGTTGAAATAAGTAGATTGTTATTAATATGCCAGTATCTTACATTATTATAACATGGTATAACAAGAGGTTGATAAAACTTCATTGTTTTTATTACCCATAACGTACGCACTATAATTACATACAAATAATTAGTAATTCAATTTCAAATTGTCATTTGATATTTGTTCATTATTGTATACCGTGATTTTATTCATTATTCAAAATTAAACACAAATAATATTCGTATACAATCAAACCGATTATTTTTCAACAGCTAGTGTAAGTGTATAATTGTTGAATACATACCATATGTTTACAATAATTACCATCAATGTTATACATATACCAATTTTATGAAAACATCATGGTCATGACCATGGTGTTATCAATCAGACTCATGATTCCGTTAACTTAACAACACAAAATACATCATATGTTCGTAAAATATTAATAAGTATTGATTTATTTTTAACTGCCTAATTAGAACTATATTATGCTGGGATTCATGAAAACAGTTATGAAAAATGTTTGTTTGAGATCTAACTTATCGGTTCTGTATTATACAATTATTGAATACATTGTTTTTCGTGTACGAATTTCATTATTTAATTAAGAATATCATATCCATGTATGTATATTAATTAATAATTTTATTATCCGTGTACAATATTACAGTTTTATATATATATTGTACATGGTGATCAATCTATCATAGCATACTCATTATCTCGGAAAGTATTAACTTTTTCCGGAATTTATTTCCTAGAACATTTAAGAAACAAGCTGCTCCACAATTTTATATTTACATTATTTTTTGTCACCCTAATTTTTAGGGGTGAAATCACTAATTATTATAGATTTCCAAATTTCAATCTATATTAAAATTACATAAATAGATGGAGTATTATTTAAAACAAATTTGAGTGCTGACATTTTAAGTTTCCGTCAATGGGATATCGGAAATCAAAAATTTCAACACCAAAATTTATTTTAACTAATACTTCATCTATTTATGAATTTTTTAATGTAGGTTGCTATTTGAAAACTAAAAACTGGTAGTGGTTTTACTCCCTAAATAAGGGTAGAAAAAAATAACACGAATACAAAATTGTAGAACAGCTTGTTTCTTAAATATTTTAGAAAAACAATTTCGGAAAAAGTCAATACTTTCCGAGATAACGAGTGTCTTACGATGGATTGATCATTCTGTATATATATTAATTTAGTATGTGTAAAATGAAAATTCAATTCCAAGTCATGCATTGAGTTTGAAATTTGAATAAAGAGTTGGTTTTAAATTTTAAAAATTCAAAAACCGCCATATTCTTCACTAGGATTTAATTTTTCTTTAAATCGCCTTAGCTTTGGTGATTAAAAAAAATTTGAAAAATTATCATATCTTCATTACTCATCTGATGAAGATGACGATGAAACTGATAAAATTGTGTTTATATTTTATAGTTTTTATGTTACTACACAGAACAACGCTTCAGTAACAAAAAAATTTAAATTACGTTTTATTTGCTAACAAATGCACACTTAATTAAATGATAAGGCAATTGTTCATATAACATTTTGTGGTTTAACAGCTCTGCAAATTGTAAATCTGCCGCAGTATTTTTCAGTTCAGTGCCTCTTTTCCGTGATAACTGTCTGCTAACGCTCCGCTCCTCCCATTCAAAATGGTTTCATAAATATATAGATCAGTATTCTAAATTAAAATAAAAACTCTTATTTGAAAAAAATATTAAATGTTTTATTCTACCCCACTTTACAAAGAGATTTTACTTTACTATAAAAAAATAATTTTTTATTATACCTCCTGATGAGTAGTTAATGATATTCCGGTTTCTAGTTAAACGCAGATCACCTTTCTTGTGAATCTTGTCAACAGATTTTTTTGGTTCGTCAGAAGCTAATCAACAACAATGAATCCTTTTTCAGCTAGATACGTTGACGGGAAGGTAAAAAAGAACAATTTAACTTATTGCCATGGTTGTGGATAATTGTCTTTAAGCTTGACCCAGGAAATCTTGATGAGAACATTTTTCCTTTGGCCTTGATAAAATTCATCTTATTTTCTTAGAGCTTCAAGTTGACTTGGTTATTTTTTCAAAATATCAATAAAGTACCCAAATTGTTTTATATCATTCCGCATTTCGTTCAAGTTCAACGCTTCATTCAAACTTGCAGCCCTTTTGGAAGAACCAAAATGTCCCTATTAAAATCCACTGGTATACTGCTTATGTTTCCATTGAGACCAAGATAATAATGAGTTTGTGTTTGTTAATCTCTAAATTTAACTATTAAAAAAAAATTTTCAATTTTGCGTCTATTTTCACTTGGGGAGACGATAAATAGCTTATAATCGACTTTTGACCGGCAATGAGGTTAATTTTTTAAAGATTTAGAGATTGTTCATACAAATATGTCATATAAGTGACATACTAAATATTTATGTCATTCAATTTTCAATTTTCGTATAATTATATAATATGGTGAGTGAAAAGTTTTTACATTCCCTTCCATTATAAACTTGATTTACAATAGTTAGTATACAAAAAAATTCATATTGTAAAAACGAGTAGTTGTAAGAATAGTAAAACAATCACTTTCTAATAAACACACATCGCTTGACCAAACCAATAATATTGTAAATGTATATTAGTAATAAATTAGGTTAATAATAATTATTAAAGTACTACTTTCAACTTATTTCGGATTTTTGTCACAAGCGCAATTATTTAATAATATTAATATATTATATTGATAAAACATTAATGTTTTATTTTCTTCTAATAATAATTACTAAAATATATATTCTATACGGTATCGCCTGCAGATGCCCACACTGCAGTAGATATTATAATCAAACAGTCTAAAGAGTATAAAAAAAAAAATTATCAGTTTTATTCTCATATTATGATCTTGTAATTTATGTATGGAAATTTTACAGAAATAAAAATCAATATAATTTACTCACGAAGTCGTGGCACGGATATTAATAAATTAACTATAACGAAAGAAATTATTTGATAAATTATAATATAATATCAAACGCAAAAAAACTCTTTCAAGTTAGTTTAAAATTCAAAAATAATTGATGACCAAGAGAAAAAAGAATATTTTCGTTTAATAATATTTTGTTTTTCATCCTTGCCAATAATATAAAATCACATACTACAATATTTATTAGCTTGATTATTGTTTAAGAACAAATACAAGTTATGTGTTGTTTTTTAACTTAGCATACTATTCTTCACAGTTATTTCTATCGAGTAATTTTAAGTACCGTTTTTTTACATGCAAACACTTCCAAGGTTCAGCGAATTAATTTTAATTACGTTATTTAAACTGCAAGTGCATGGTCTATAATTATAATTGGTGGACATTGTTTATGGTAGTTACCCATATCAATGAACACAAAAATATTCTTATTTGAAAATACTTACGGCAGTCATCTATTTATTGCATTCGACAAATGCAGAAAGGGCACATATTCAGATTGTATTTTATTTAAATAATTAAACGCCTTAAGGCATTTGGTTACATGAGGTGACGAGAGCATGCTTTAGATTAAATAATTATTTAATATAGTGATGAGATCTAGGTTTTAAAATTGTTAAAATTTTCTAGAATGACAAAAATACTTAATATCTTAAATATTGAAATCAAATTTCTTGTTAATATCTTATGTTCTAATGTTAGATATTATCTACTAAGTTACTATAGAAATTGTATAAAATATTTTAAAACTTGATGTGCTCTCGAAGTTTTTTGTCTTTCTTAACAAACGGTAAAATTCGAACATGTGCCTTTTCTGCATTTAGCGTTAAATGTATTGTTTTATGCCGCTTTATAACTTAACCATAAATTTACCCACATCATGTAGTCATAGGTAATCCAAAAATTGTATCTGTTGCTATTTTGTCAAAATATTCGAATTTAAATATTATTATTATTATTTTAGATTTTGGACGGAGCAAAGAATGTATGGTTTTACTATCAATGTTTCTGAATTTGTTTTTGTGTCTCTGAAAAAGTTTTCTACCAGAAATAGTGATCCAATTCAAAAAAAAACTAGCGAACTTTATTGTAGTGTTTTGAATCTAGTTAATTTAATGAATAGGTCAATTTTTGATTTTCTATAAGTTTTTTATACTAATTTGAATAAAAAGTATAATCAAAACAGATAAATTCATGGAAATAAAAGTTCTTTATTTTCGATTTTATTTTTTTTTTTATCAGAAATCTTGCTTCGAATTTTATTTGTAATATACTTTCGGAAATAAGATTTAGTAATTAGCATATTATGATGTTTTTGATCTTTAAAAAAGGTCTAAAAAACGAGAAAGTTTACGGAAATTAACACCTTAAATTTTGTATTTAAGTTTCCAGTACTTCCTTATCATTATTATTATATACTTGGAAAATCAAAACATAACCTCCTCAATGCACTAGATCCATAATTGATAAAAAAAAAGTTCTTTTGTTATTTTTTTATTGAAACAAAATTTCTAGTAGAAAAGTTGCTCATAGACACAAACAAAAAAACTAACACACACATAGTAAAACCAATATACAGGCTGTCTCACAAAAATAAACCCCTTTAATATCTCCGAAGATAATAAAAATAATTAAATTCTTTTTTTTTATATTACTCATAGAAAACTACAAATATTTATATTTCAATTTTTTTTTTTTTTTTAAATTTAAAAAATAACTTTAATTTATTATTTTCTGAAAATTTTAATGTACCACACATTTATATCTGATTAGTAGTTTCTAAGTAACAGCCGTTTTAAATTCTACTAATGTGTAAAAACCGATGTTATTTTATGGAATAACCTAACCATGTTACGCGATTTGAATTTAAAACGGCTGTTACTGAGAAACTATTCATCGGATATAAATGTGTGATACAAAATTTTCAGAAAAATAATCTTTACAGAATGGCTATCTTAAAATTTTTCGAAAATAATAAAATAGTTTTTTTTATTTTTTTAATAAAAAAAAAAAAACTAATTCAAATATAAATATGTATAGTCCTCTTCAGTGTAAGTATTATAAAAATAAAAAAAACAGAATTTAATTATCTTTATTATCTTCGGAGATATTCAAGAGGTTTATCTTTGTGGGACAGCCTGTATTCTTAGTTACATTCAGAATCTGAAAAAAATAAATTTTGCTCGTAAAAAGTAAAGTATGGCACAACATAATAATAATAGTTGTAATTTATTTTGAATAGTAAAATATATGATGCATATTGCATAGTTCAAAACGTACACATTATACACGTACAATGTACAAAATATTATGCATATTACGAATATATTTAATATTACAAACAGGAATGTATAAAATATTATTTTGTTTGATGTTAAATTAAAACAGTTCTTAAAAGTTTATTTATTTACTGAAAAATCGTATTTTTGTTCGTTTGTATACATTTTTTTTTTTTTTTTTGGTAATACTACTAGTCCGTTCAATAGTCTGTTGCCATTCGACGGGTTTTTTTTTTAAATTGTATACAGGGTGATCAATTTGCCGTAAGACATTCATTATCTAGGAAAGTATTAATTATTTTTCAACCAGCTCTAAAAATTTAAATTCATATTATTTTAAGTCACCCTTTTTTGTAGGGGTAAACCATTTTTACTCCCAAAACCACTTGCTTTTTATTTTCAATTGGCGACCTATATTAAAAATTCCAAATTAGATTGAGTCATAGATAAAATAAATCTTAATGTTGAAACTTTTGATTTCCGTCTGTCCGTTGACGAGATATTCGACTTTTGAGTTTAGGTAGAGAGAGAGAGAAAAAGAGTGTAGTGGAGCATCATTTGTGTGGCGGCCCGCACATAGCGTGTTAAAATGCATGACTAACAGGCCTACAGTCCCCCTTCTACCCAAACTTAAAAGTAGAATATCTCGTCAATGGGTTAACATAAAATTAAAATTGTAGAGCTGCCTGTTTCTTAAATGTTCTATAAAACAAATTCCAAAAAATGTATTACTTTCTGAGATAATGAGTGTCTTTACGATAGAGTAATAATCCTGTACACAATTTTGTACACAATCTGCATAATATTATATGGAATAAAATAGAAAAAAAATGTATAATACAAATAAATAGTTGTATGTTTGTCCGCTATAGCTACAAAATTACTAAACCAATTTTCGCGTGATATTTTGTAAAATGGTTCGCGTTGTCTAGAGAAGGTTTAAAGCTATTAAAAACCATGATCTGATCAGTAAAAGTAGTAAACTTAATGAGTAGTTAAGGCTGTTCACAAAATAATAATAACATGTGTTTTTAATTTTCTAGCAACCCTGCAGCTAATTCATACAATTATATATTATATGTAATTATTACATTTTACTTAAATAGAATAGTTGACACAAGCGTTACATTGATTTCATTTAGTCTATACTGAAATCTAGTAATAGTAAAGAATTGCCGATACAGCTAGTATTACTGGCACACCCAACGTTAATAACAGACTGCGAGTCTTCTCATTCGGCCATGTACTACCTACTTCGCGGTTTTATTTTGTACGCATACAATACAAATTATTTATTTTTTGCTCTGATGCTATAGTTTATAATTAATAATTTAAAAGTACGTGAATTTGTAACTAATAATTTAGCACAAAATAATCAGTTATACAAAATATTATGATTTATTATCATATATATATATATATATTTATATAACGGGTTTAGTTTGTCAAGAGTTTCCTTCGAAGAAATCCCAATTGCGTCACTATATTATTATTGTATTCTTGTATTCTTGTATCGTACTTACCTTTATATAACATTGAAAAATCAGTTTCGTATTATTTTGTGTCGATCAAAACGATTAGATATAGCTGATGCTTGTGTGTGTATTTTATTTTAAGCTTATACATTCATTTTTTAGTTGGCATTTACCGTATACCACTATATATATACTTATTTAATAATATAGAATCAAGTATTTTGTAATATATTGACAAAATAGCCTAAAATATTTAAAATATATATCTAAATATAATAATAATAATAAAAAAAAGGACCGACACACTTCGTACGTGGGTGCAGCCACTGTTGTAGGTGGAAAGGTGAAAAAACGATTCCGAGCGGAGTTCAATTGATAGTGTTGCTTTGTCAACAACATATGTCATATTATGGTAAAATGAACACAACAATTTACGTTTCTATGACAACCGTTTTTTAATCTTTCAATCTTTTTTAACCTAAAAAACTAGGTTTTCCTCATTATCTCAAATATTAATGAGAATTTCAAAAAATGACCTCTTTAAAGTTCCATCCAGAGAATATTTCCTTTCAAAGAAGATGTTATACTTGATAATCGAAGTAAGCTTTCTGGTAGAAAAAGTGTTCACATAAAAGAAAAAAAGAACACCATTATAAAACTAATACATTCGTCGCTCCGCTCAGAATCTAAAATAAGATAAAATAAAACATTGTTTTTAGGAGTTTAACATATTATTTTTATTAGGTCCTGTTTCGAGTTACCTATCGTCAATATACTCGTATCGTACGGTGACGTTAATTGGAGGCACTTTAGCTTCTCTGGGTCTGATGCTCTGTTATTTCGCCGACTCCATCACGTTTCTGTACTTCAGGCAAGTATAATATTTTATCAATTATCTATAATATTCATAATACACAATTTTCAGTTGAAATCACACGAAATTATTTATTTTTCTCTCGCATTATCTCTTACGTATTACAAAACGGAATTTAAGTTTTTAGATTATTGCAAATAGACCCACGTTGATATTTAATTTATTTATGCAACTATTATGGTTATTTTAATTTTTTTTGACATATTTGTCTGTTTTCTAGAAATAGTTTAATAGGTAAATGTACCGCGCAAATGCTAAGTATACACACAGTATTACACCTATGTAAACCAGTAATCTTCAGAAAGTTTAACTTAATTTGATTATGGTTTCAAAATCTTCATAAAATTGTTTGATACCTACCCTAATTTGTTTAAATTTTCACAATCAAATCTTGTATCATTTTAGATAAATATATAGCTTAGGAGGGATGAGTCGAATTTATATCGACATTTTTCACTAGTTTGCTACAATGTAAAAATAATTCTGAGGGTATACGAGTACTGATACTATATTTATAGTAGGTAATTACTTGTTTTCTTATCAAAATTCCATTATAATATCATTATGCCGTAAGTACGTCTATGAGGTATTAAGTACGAATAATTACTAATACTTACCTGTAGTTATTTGATTTCAATGATAATATAATCGAATTATAAATTAGGTACTTACAAAAACAAGTAAATGAAAAATTGATATTTATTTTTTTTATCCTAATAAGTTAGTACACATTATACAATATGCTATTATGACTTATGCTACAATTTCCAAATTCAACGTCTCTCTCCTTAGCAAAATCTTAAATACATCACTGATCTCGTTTAATCGTTAAATAATTTATGTATTTTATGTATTTATAAATAGATTTAAAATTTAAAGGATTATAATACCATGCTATTTAGTTTTATGACGAAATTAAAAACATGCCAGTATAGTTATATTTTTACCAATTTAAATTAGGGTTAATGAATAATACATTTATTTTATCGTTGATAAAATTTTACCATAAATTTAATTATTAGAGTAATACACGTGTAATATAATTTATATAATTTATGCAAACATTCACTATGGTCACACTATCATTATTTTTTTAATATTCATAAACTTACAATTAATTATATTTAAACATTAATATAGCATTAAACTATATGAATATGCAAATTAATGAGGTTTTTTTGTTGAATCAAGACAACTTTCTTCTTTCATTATGTTGGAAATAATTATGATATTGTCATATTTTCAGTTAAATAGCAGCTGATAAAATAATTCACAAATCATAATTAATTTTCACGGTTTGAACTGTTAATATACAAATTATACATGCATTATATAGGTACCTAAATAGGTATGTTTATTATTGATTTTCATTTTGTTGTAATAATTATTGTATGTATATTACTTTTCCAATCATACGAAAACATTTTTTCTCAATAATTATATTAAACAGTAGGTATCTAATTTTAAATTTAGGAATATTTATTCGGAAATCACATCAGAGGACACCCTAAAAAAAAAAAAAAACGCATTATTTTATATATAATAATTTATGACTGAAATTTTAATATCCGAGTATCCGAATATCTGAAGTAGCCACTGGTTATTATTTAAGTTCGAGTATTATTGTAATCATAAATCCAAAATTACGGAACGTAAAACGCTAGCTGTAGTTTTACAACGAATATGGTTTTGTTTTTTTCCTTATATGTTGATAAATATACGTATAATATACGGTTCAATGTATCACACATGTGTACACAATGTGGACACATGTGTACACATAGGTAATTTATTAAACCTATATCATATTATACACATTTCTTGGGAAATTGTATGCGTTGAGCTAATGAGTCCAGCATATAATATACCGCGTGGCGATACAGATTTTTTCGAAACCATTAAAACTGCAACTGGGTAGGTTATACAAATAGCAAAGCTATTTTGATGAATCCTTCGTCTATATTTTATTGACGAAAAGCTGTCAAATAAGATTAGTTTATAAAATTATAGCACCAAGACAGCACCCAACTAGTGTTATATTCTCGATTAAACCATATTATTATTCATGGAAATCATGAGAATTTTTTTTTTAATTATAAAGCTATTTTGAGTTTGGTATTTTGGTAATTACCAATAAGGTATGAAATATAAAATATTTGTTAACCGTTGTCACTAAAGACCGGATTTATATTCTCTTATAATCCACAAAAAAGTGCTTTAAAACACTAAAAAAAGCACTTACAAATATTTTAAAAAACAAAAATAATAGAGTTGAAAAGTCTCCCGGTTAATGGCTTTAACTTATTAAATTAAATTTCCTAGCATCGCAAATAAAATGATTCACAAAAAATATTTTCTTTTATATGAAATCGTACGCATTATAAAAAGAAAAACTTTTTATTAATCATTTTTGTAGTGTTAGAAAATTTAATTCAATAAGTTAAATCCGTTAAAAGGGAGATCTTTTATATCCACATATGTTTTTTTATTTTTAAATATTTTTTAAGTATTTTTTCTAAGGCTTTTTTTACGTTTTCAAGTGCTTTTTTTGTGAATTTTAAGAGTATATAACGCCGATAGTCCGATCTCTTGTTATTACTCAGTCAATTATATTCAAACAAATTTTTAATATTACAAAAATTCTTACGGATTAATATTAACAAGCCTGTATCCATTTGCCATGTATTCAACAGTTTATTATCCTTAGTATTTAAAGTAATATAACTCAGAAACTGTTCATACAAATGACGATTACAATACGCCATATTTTCATAAAAATCTTTATAGATGATTGTATTTACATACAATATTTATACAATATTTTTTATTTAAATAACGAAATGGTTGTGTTTCAGTTACGGGGTTATGTTCGGCGGCGGCGCGGGTCTGGCGTTTCCTCCCGGAATATTCATCGTAACTTCGTACTTCGTCAAGTACCGCGGGTTCGCCAACGGAGTGGCCATATCGGGCAGCTGCATCGGTTCAATGTTCCTGCCGCCATTCCTGGGCTACCTGATCGAAAACTACGGTTACAAGTACACAAAAAAAAAAACACCCCAGACACACACACGAGCACACACACGTTATATAATAATATAATACTACATAAATATGAGACCGATACGTGGCGGCCCGAAACCTCTAATTTTATCCTCTCGAAAATTTCGGGTCGCGTCGCCGGCAGCCTGTTACCCATCCATCCTATATAGGTAATACATGAATGCTATGTGTGTGGTGCAGGGAGACGGTGCTGATACTCGGGGCGCTCACGCTCAACGTTTGGGTGGGCGCGTTGCTGTACCACCCGGTTGAGCGGCACATGGTCAAGCAGTACGTGGATGAGTACGAGTACACTGCAGGAGACGACGGGCAAGTCGGCGGCGGCTGTGTAGAAGCGGACGCGATTTCGACTGTATCGGCGGCCGCAGCGGTGGACTTGAACTCGATGACCGGCGGCAAGAGCATGACGGAACTCCGGTGCAGCGGTATACCAGACGACGGACAGCTACACGAGACGGTATCGCTGCTGGCGCAGAACCTCAACGGTTACGTGATCGTCAATGAACTAAACGCGTCCAGCGTTAAAATTCCGACCGACGACCGGTACCTGCTGTCCGATGACGGTGCCCAGGTTATCGGGTCGGTTAACAGCAGGGCGGCCCGAAATGCGGCCAGTTCACCGAAGTTGGCATTTAGCAGTTGCAGCTTGTTGCGGACGACGACGGACGGCGGCGACCATCAACATCACCTGGTGTTAACTTCCGGCGGTGGCGGCGTAGACGGCCGGTATAAGGCCAACCACGGCGCGTCACTGTCGTCGTTGCGGTACGTCAGCACGCCGTTCCACGGCAGCACGTTGGTCAGCCTTTACGAGGAGTCGCAGCCCAAACAGCAGCAGCAGCACAACAAACGGCTGCAACACAGGCGACCCGGACAGCAGCAGTTACATCAAATCCGACAAAAGCAGCCGACCGACGGCCCGTCGTCGCGCCGGAAGGTCGTGGCCGGCGCGCTACAACTGCTCTCCGATCCGCTATTTATCGTCATACTCGTGTCTAACGCCACCACGGCCATCGGGTACACCAACTCGGCCATACTGTTGCCTTCGTATGCCATCAGCATTGGCCACGACAAAAGCAGCTCGCAGTACCTGCTGTCCGTGATGGCCGTCCTGGACCTGGTCGGCCGGATCGGCGGCAGCACGCTGTCCGATTGGATCCGGCTGGACAAGCGGTACTACTACCTGAGCGGCCTGGTCCTGTCGGGCGTCGCGCTGTTCGTGCTGCCTCTAGCCGACGACTACCTGACGATGTGCTGCATGTGCGCCGCGTTCGGCCTGGGCTCTGGCGTGGTGGTGGGAATCACGGCGGTCATAATGGTCGACATGCTCGGCGAGGAGCGGCTGGCTTCGTCGTATGGCATATCGCTCCTCTGCAACGGACTGATGCAGCTCATCGGGCCGCCCGTGGCCGGTTACATATTCGAGACGATCGGTTCGTACAGGCCCGTGTTTCACGGTATGGGCATCATACTGTTGTTCGGGGCTTCCGTGTGGCTGCTGACGCCGTTCCTGAAGAAAAACCACCATCATTACTGATGACGTTGTCGGTTCAGCCGACCCGCCGCGCTACGTCGCCGCCGGTCTAGCGCCGCCGTTTAGATTCGCGCTCGCACTGTGTAGACACACTCACACCCGATATTTAAAATACAATAATAATACAATTAATAATATGTTCGCATATCCGACACGTACGGGCATAGTAAAATATATTCGACTAGGTCGTATTTCAATTTCAGTGGCGTTTGACATGCGTATGACTACGGGTTTAAAACGTCCACTTAACCACTCGTCCGAATTCGTGATTGTCGATTCGTTTTTTATTTATTATTATTATTATTATTATTTTTTTTTTTTTTTTTTATAAAATAATTGTGTAGAGGGTAGAGCCGCGGACAAAGCCGTGCGGTAATGTTACAGTAACAATTATTAGTTACGAAATGTTTTTGTCAAAAACTAATAATATGACTTCGGAACTTTCAAAGTCCAAGTCGGGACAGTTCGGTTTATTTATCTGCATGAACTTATCAACACTCGTAGTCATGTACCTAAACGACTAAAAAGATATGCAACTGTTATTTATAATTATAGAACCACTACTAACTTAACGGAGTAACTTTTTTCTACGAGTAACTATTATGCAGTAATTTCGACTGTGTTCCTTTACTTTATTACAATTCAACTCGGTTACAGTAAAACTAATGACTTTAACTTGCCCGATTACACAGTTGCTTGCCCAGTTTTGATAACGGACAATGGTTTGAAATCGAAAAATTTGAAATAAATTTTCTTTTTAATCCCTTACAACGATATACAAAGTTCGACGCTACTGAGTTATGATATACGTATAATATGGTATTATTTTTTTTTTTTTAACAATATATTTCTTACATTTATATACAATTAATACATATTAATAATATTATTGTGCCTAATGATGGAGCGAGACGAAGCGTTTTATGACCTCGCTGAATTTGACGAGGAAGTTACTATCAATTAATACAACAACACGAATGGACTGACTTTTTTTTCTTTGTCCTGTGTGTATTTTCATGTTTATAAACCCCCCAACCGCATACCTACGAATAACATTTTGTATCATATTTTTACTATTTGTTAGAACTTGTTCGACAATACCTTCGAAGTTGGGGAGACTTTATTTCCGTCAACGGAATATTTGTATTTTTTTGTTTTTTTTTTTTTTTTTTTGTCTGTTATACTGCAGCGTGAAATCCTGTTAGCAGTTAGCACTTAAAAGTTATTAAAACTTTATACCCTTACGGCTCTATTTATTTTTTTCAGATATTATTTGACAACTTTCAAAGTTTGTCGGTTGAATTTTTTTTTCCTTTAAAATTTTCCTTTTAAATTAATACCTGTAAAACCTTAAGTGTGGTATAATATACCATTTATTTATACTATTACTATTTATTTATTTTTCCAGATTATCCGAACGTTAGGTTAAATAACGTTAAGAATTTCGATTATTAATTCGGCGCTGATAATTTTACGAGGGTTCGCTGATGCAACGGTCTAGCCTGCAAATGATATTCCATAATATTGTATTTTTACGTTACGGTTTACGAGTAACGAATTATTGTAACATTACGAGTTCCTCGTTTGGGTATAATATAACTGCTCAAGAGTCAAGTGTGGTGCAACGTACAAAATAACTTCAGGTTACTATTAGTGTTTGTTTTTTACCGATTCTTCCAGCCCAGTTTTTACACGTTGGTTATAAACGTACACCTATTATATACATTATAATATTATCATATCTTATTTTTAAATTCGGGTGACGCATCCGCTATTATTTATTTTACGGTTATTTCGTATAACCGCGCTGTTATAATATTTATTTTTTCATATAAAACTTGCCCTAGACATTTAGGTCCCAATAAACCCTACTACACCCCATCCCACGTGCTCACGGCCCTTATTTTCAGTTTAAAAAAAAAAAAAATAAACTCACTTTCCCGCCCCTTTATATAGTTTATTTCGCAATAAAACGAGACGCGCCACGCGATATTTTTCGGAACCAAAAACGACGAATTTAAATACCTATTATAATAATATTATTATATTTTATAGAAAAAAAAATAAAATATATTAAACGTCTGTAAAATTGTTTGTTCGTATAATATTATTATTATTAATTTTAACGAGTGTTGTTTATTAGTTACGAATCTTCCGTGTCGGTTATTATATTATACTATTTATTATGTATTGTTGATGTTGTTGTTGAATTAGTGGTTATATACACGTAAGTTACGTTTTGTTTTTATTATTTTGTTTGTTTTTTTTTTTTTGATCGAGATTTTATACGAATCTTATTCGTACGAACTGATATCGTATAATGGTCTGGTACTGTTGTACGGGATGTATTTGACAACGCCATTCTAACATATTATATTATTGCTGGATATAAATTGTCAAAATGGTATTTTTTTTTTACAGTTTTCATAAAAACCGTTTAGATTTACATTTTGAGTATAGGAAATATATTTAGTATAAATGTGATTATCAAACAAAAATATTATTATCAAATATTATACTGTATAAAGTGTTAATAATTATATTTCAGTTTACGTTGATATTGTTGTAGCGAAAACCCAAGTGTTTAGTTATATTGTAATATATATATATTGAATTAATTACGATAATAATTGTATAGACAAATATTATATTATAAATGCATGTTATTTAATTAAAATATTATCATTAATAAGGGACAAATGAATAAATTTGTAATTAAATCCAGTCGTTTGTGATTTTTATTTACCCGAGAAAGCATATTATATATAATGTATTACATAATTTTAAATTTGCTTTGTACCTTTTAATATTATTTATAAAATACCAATTTTCCATGTGCCCTACCTATCCATGTACCGTGTATGATATAGTACCTTTATTGTTTGGGGGCGCGAACCCCGTTGGTTCAAAATAAAATCCCAAGCGACTGACAACGTGATGCGTTTATCTAAAAATATAACTATCTTATTCGTTCCGGTTTTTATTTATTTATAATAATATGTACACATCTGGAATCCAGATTTGAACTGCCAGAGTTTTTACGGATACTGAAATCTGAACCGTACACATCTAAAATGTGAAATGTTTAAATTAAGACACAATACGAAATTCAAAAATTTTACCTATCCGATTTGAAGGTTTCGGATCTGTATATCCGTAAAAATCTGAAAAGTACACAAACCTGGATGTGTACATTTACGTGGTTTTTACACACTCCTTGAACGAAATGGTGATACACACTTTTTTTTTATTAAACATTTACATAGTTAATTAGCTATACAATTATTAATGAATACCTATCTCTTTTAAGCAAGCCTACGATAGAGATAGAGAGTAATAGAATATTGATTAATTTAAAACAAATAATGAATGAGAAAAACTACAGATAGGTACATTCAAAATAAAATATAAGAATAAATATTATTAATTAAAACTACGATGAATAAATAAAAAAAAATTAACTAAAATAAGCAGATACTAATTGAAATAGCTTAAACATGTAGTTACCAATAACAAAACAAAAAGATTTAGCTCAGGTCTAAAAATACCCATTTATATAATATCTAGCATTACTTTGCATAATGTGGATGTTTCTTTACACTGAATATGCATTGAGTTAAAATACGTAAGATTTTTGGGTATATTTAATAGGAATATCATACGCTATGATTTTTCTTTTATTATCAAATGAATTGCCTTTAATAAAACGATTAAATACAAATATAATAGCAACTTTTTTATAAAGTTTATAAGTTTTTTTATAAAGCGTGATATCCGGAGACAGTAGAAGTCGGTGTGGCGTCCTCATAAACATATATTTATATATATATATATATATATATATATATACATATACACCGTCCGCAATAGCTGAGAGATCAAATTTTCACCGTAAAAATAATAAAATTTACAACGTGAAACATTGGCTGTATTTTGTTCGATCTTCAAATTCAAAAAAAGCCGATACTCCTCATGGACGTGTCACTGTTTTAGGAAGGAAGTTGGAAGGCAGTATACATAATGATTGCATGCATGTAATTTAATACGCAACATTATTAATAAAACTATGCAAGAATTATTACGATACACCAACTAGACAACATTTGATAACAGAAACTATCCTTGGTGTTGATCGGAGGTTATAGAAAGAAAATGTCTGAATACAATTCAGCTCTATCATAGTCTCATAGTTGTTGTTAGTGTTTTAAAAATAGATTTTTAAAATTTTTCTTGCATTGTGCGTTTTCAAAAATTATTATTTTTTTTTTTATGATACATACAGAGTTCGAAAACTAAATTATTGTGTATAGATCATTTTAAGATGTAAAAATGTATTCGAAAAATGTTTAGATTTTTTCAAAACTATTTCAAAAAATTAAAAAGTAGAAACTCGAAAGTTAAGTTAATTTTAGCTTTGTTTTTAATTAATTTAAGATACACATTTTTTAATTGTATTTAATATTTTGTGTTGTGTTAATTTGAAGTTATCGGCGTGTACGGCACATTTTAGATTCTGAGTGTAGTGAAAAATGTATTGGTTTTACAAAAATGTTTATTTTTTTTATATATATATATACTGTGTACAAAAATGTTACCAAAAATCTTACTCTAATTTATACGTACGATATTATTTCTGAAAGTAAATATTATCTATATCCCTCTATATCCTACCTTTCCAATCTGTCACCAACAACAGTGGCAGAATCCATTATGCGAAGTATGTCCGTCTTTTTATGTTCATATTGCATATTTTCACAGGAAATACTTGATTTTTAATATCCTTTCAAACTAAAATGTAATAAAACTTTTGCCAATATATGAATTTAGATCATTATAAAAAAAAAAAATCATATAATGTAACGGGGCCAAGTAACTCTAGTGGCGGAGTTTTGCTGTTCACGGGTGTAATTTTAATTGTAAAATATATAAAAAGACGTCCTAGGATAGTGGGGATGGATGCAGCCACTGTTCTAGGTAATTTAATGTGTATCTGTTAGCAACGA